CTCTAAAACAAGAGACACTGAAGAGAAAATTAGATCTGCCTGATATGCTTTAACTTGAATTTCTGCATTGAGAACTGTGTTGAACTCGATGGCTTTATGGACTCCTTCCAACTCCATATTCTCTTATTCTATTTACACTGATTTGTATCACATTGATAAATCTGAGGTGGTAAACAAAAAGGAAAGGGGAACAAACTGGACCTTTGTCCTATGTCAGTCCTTCCTAAATTACACCCACAGCAATGAATGGAATTTGCTATAGTAACACTTACCTGAAGTCCCACTGATTTCAAAATGTATATCCTGGGTAGAACTCCCATTGAATTTAGCCTTGAACCAATAACCTATCATCACAGAGAGTCCCATATGAAAACCATTAAAATGTAGTATATTAAATAATAGAATAATAATTTTAAAAATCAATTAAAATAATAAACCTGTTCAGACTAATTTTATTCATCTTGGTTTCCTGCATAAAGAGATTTGGACTCCTTCCCCCTTTCCAAAGACACTTTCAACTTCCTATAATAAGACTTTAATTAATTTTCACTCTTTATTTCAACAGCTATGAAAGCTACACTAGTATTGTCTGACTGCCTCTTTCTGTAAGAATTTGAGGTCTAATCTTTTGAGCGTCTTATTTATTTTCTTCCAGAGGGCTAACAGTTTGTCTGTTATAGCAGAAGAAACAAAATAGTCATACAGCACATTTATGACTAATGAAGATCATTGTTTTTAAAGCTTTTTATGGCCCCAAATTCACTTCATCAGCTATATGCATTTATTATCTCTGCACAAGAGTTTAGTTATGTTACTGTGCAGCAGAGCAAATCAGCATTCTACAAGGAAGTTCTAAAAATATGGGCAGCCGAAACAAAAATTGTAATGTTGAAACCGGAAAGTTGATAGTACCAAACACAGCACAGTATTAGCAGACAGTCTGCTATTGCTCTGTGCCAAACTGGGAGATATTTGGACAAACATCCCCAGATTTAAGATCGGTAAAGGTAAAGGTTCCCCTTGACATTTAATCCAATCGTGTCCAACTCTAGGGGCCGGTGCTCATCCCCCATCTCCAAGCCCTAGAGCCAGTGTTTGTCTGTAGACAGTTTCCGTGGTCATGTGGCCAGCGCAACTAGACACAGAACACTGTTACCTTCCCACTGCGGTGGTACCTGTTTATCTACTCACATTTTACATGCTTTTGAACTTCTAGGTTAACAGGAGCTGGGAAAAGCGATGGTAGCTCACTCGCGTGGATTCAATCTTATGACTGCTGGTGATGGTAGCTCACTCGCGTGGATTCACTCTTATGACTGCTGGTCTTCTGAACTTGCAGTACAGTGGCTTCTGCGGTTTAACCCGCAGCGCCACCATGTCGCAGATTTAAGATAGCCCATTTCAGTTGAAAAGACTGATTTTTAAATTGAATTGAATTTACTTTGTCATTTTGCTTCTGTACAATGAAATTAAATGCCATCTCCAGTAGACATAATAAAACACACAAGAACATAGCATCCATTAGCATCTATAACATGAAAACACAGCACATTACACATAAAACACATCTCTCTCATTCACATCCACATCCTTCACACTCAATTTTCCATTGCACAACACATTAATGTTGCACTATACCGTGGAATTCAGTATAGCTGCTTATCTTGAAAGAGAATAGTTGGTTCCACCCACTTTTTTATTTGTAAAGAATCAGGCTGCAGGGGCTAAGATATTAATCCTCAAAAAGGCCCTTAAAAAGAGAGAAAATGTGAATTTGTTGTAAACTGGGTACAACGGATTTTCTGTAAGCATTTCAGAGTAGATAAATTATTTCAGCTTCGTCCTAGGAAGGCTGTAGGGCAATGAAAGATCACAGAGACGGAGTCAAAAGACAGATTTTCTTCAAAGAGTTCCCTCCCTGCAAAAAATATACAAACAAACAAAAACTCAGGCTTGCTATAGAGAAGGTAATGAAGTTACGGTCCTCCAGAAAGGGGCATTTTGCCATGTATCTCCAGGGAATTTGCATACAGTTTTATAAGACACATTTAAAACCACACAGCAGTTGTGTTTGTCCCAGACCTGAGTGCTTGCGGTTAACATTTCCGAAACCAGGCTCCTGACACAAGTCTTCAAAAGGGAAATCAACACCAGGTCTGGGGCAATCTCAACTTTTGACATTGTCAGTCAGGACCCGATTAGATGACTCTCTGGAGAACTTTTTATCTACTTTCTAGCCAACAGGCATTACAAATGGATTCTGTGCCTGGTTGTAAAAATATTTTTGAAAGTATTTTAAAAAGAATAGGGAGCAAATATCCAGAAGCTCTTTCGTTTAAGCTGTGAAATTACTGTTTTTTGCTTTGTGGCCGGAGATGGTCTTACTCAGTGTTAGCAGAACTTTGGTGCCCATATCATTCTCATAGTTTCAACCATTCCACCCATCTTGTCACTACACAATTTTTGGTAATTAGGGGAAAAAAACTCCAAAGATGTTATCTGCCATTAAGTCAGTTCTGAAATGTGGTAACAATATGAGTCAATGAGCTCCCAAATCATTTTTGTTATATAATTTTGAGTCCTTTTGTGGAGAAAGGTGTAGTAGAAATATTTTAAATAAATAAATATCATTAACAGCTTTACTCGGATCTTGCAGGCCAACATATTAGGTTGTTTTCTCTTCTTACCCCACCCCCTTCTTAGCAACATTGTCTTAGCAACAATGGTAGTGAGCACAAGAGGGTGTCCCCTGGAGACAACTCATGTCTAGAGATATTTGTGAAAGTATGTCTAGGCCTACTTTTACACTCTAATAATGTCTGAGGATATTGTATAGCTCTTGGCACTAGTAGTGCCTGTCCAAGAACATCTGGCGAGGATGAGGGAAGTAGCCAATGCACATGGGCCTCAAACTATATGGCTTCCCTTTCTCACTCACATTATCATAAAATCAGGAAATTGTATAGTCTCAAACAGTCCAATCCCTTGCAGTGCAGGAAATCTTGTCTGTTCCTAAATCTTTTATTATCTATATTCTCTCTCTCACTCCCAGCAATTTCCCTTTCTCTTTCTCTTTTAAGATTGGAAGCCTGCTAGGCCTTATCAGCACTTTATAAGTAAGAAATTGCTAGGAACAATGCCAAATTGTTGGGCAGGGGGGCAAGTAGGGTGGATTTCCCTGGAATATTTAATCTCCACATTGACCCTGCCTCACAGGGATGTTAAAAACTAGGTATAGTCACATACACATGAGTTCTATCTGCAAGGAGTTGAAGGATCACTGCTTCACTCCCCCATTTTCATCACACAACATTATGGGTTAGATTGGCTGAGAGAGATCACCCAATGAGCTTCATGGTTGAGTGGCAATTAAACCCTGTGTCTCCTGAATCCTAATAACGATACCATGATGGCTTTTAAATGGTTATATTAATAACCAATACTGTAGTTATATACAGTAGTGTCCTGTCATCTCATTTTTAGAGAAAGTACTGTAGGTCTTTGCAATATCCATCTCATGCTAGGTCTTCTTCTTTTCCTACTCCTTTCCATTTTTCCTAGCATTATTATTGTTTCCAGTGAGTCATCTTCTCATGATATGTCCAAAGCTGACATGTACACTGTTTTCACTAATGGTAAAAACAGGCTGAATCAGGGATATCTGTACTCTTTCAGAGCAACTGTAGAATGAAACACAACACCTCTCTTCACCACCAGTGTTGCAAACTTACACATAAGGATCTTTTTTGTTGTTGTTCGTACTGTAGCTATATTCCCAAAGCCCTGTCTTATAAGTCACTGTCTCAGTGTGTGCCCTGTATACCATTGTAAATTAGATAGAATTCTCTGTTCAGCCATAATGCCTGAGTAGACTTATTTTGGCTCTTCCATATCTTTGCATTTTTTGTAGACTTGTGTGCACTATTTAGCAGGCAGGGATGAAGTGCATGCCACAGAGGACAATGTTGGGTTCCCCACCACCACTAAACAAGCAAAAACAATGTTGGACACAAGGAAGAACTGAATGGATTTAAATAAGCATGGCATCCTATCAAGAATCTGACATTTTATCCCATAACAAGAACAACTATGCTGCAGTTCTGGAGTTTTCTAGTAGCCTTTGTCCTCTTCCAATCCACTCATTAACGCTTTGCCCACCACTACCAGCAGAAAGGCCACTTTGCTATGGCTTTGTCCTCTTAAAGCATTGATAATTCCCCCCCCCCCGGCTGAAACTGTTTATGAAACCTGGAGATTTGTTGTCAAACTCTGGATGCTAGGAGTAGAAAAAAAGCATAACCTATAATGTTGATCCATATAAAGCAAACCCAATATTAGCAGTAATTTGGGCTGGACTTTATGCCAAAATGTCACATAACAGTGAAAAAGCTTTTGAGTTCTTGAGAACTCCTCATCCAACCTGCTGAAGGCATCTGAAGAATTTTCCGAGTTTTCTTCCTATTTTGTTTGGTCCTTAGTGCACCTCAGGATGCTATCTTATTTACTGCACTAGGAAAACTGGTGGTTAGAGGTGTGTGCAATCCTTTCTTTATACTGTAGACTGTTCTGAAAACCCGCAGCTGCTCTCTTTCAGATTCCAACTCACCACATACCCCATTATTCGGGGTGTTTTTTAAATAAATCCATCAAGAAAATTAGGCACGGATTCCCCAAGGCCACATACACTTAGTTTAGGAAATGATTTCCAAAATATTAACTTTAAAAAGTTAATTCTTCTAATGTGGCCCAGGGAAGGTGAAAGGTTGGACACCCCTGCTGTAGACTGTTCTGAAAACCCGCAGCTGCTGTCTTTCAGATCCCAACTCACCCCATACCCCATTATTCGGGGTGTTTTTTAAATAAATCCATCAAGAAAATTAGGCACGGATTCCCCAAGGCCACATACACTTAGTTTAGGAAATGATTTCCAAAATATTAACTTTAAAAAGTTAATGACTTTTTTTTCTAACAGCAATATTTCCTTTCCTTTCTGTTTACAGTTATACAAACAGAGTGGTGACCAATGGACTGAAGGCACAAATTGATAACCCAGAGTTAAAAGTGAAGGGATTGGACCCACATGTCAGCAGCCTAATTGAGAAGCTACACCATTTCAATCAGGTAAGAAAAAAAAAGTGGGGGAGAGAGAGGAAAAACCCATTCTTCTTGCCCAGTTAAAATACAGAGAAGGGACAGCAGAAATGTCTTAGCTGGCTCCACCATTTTCATGGTGGAGCAACCACTAGCCCTTGTTAAAGCTACCATTCCAGTCTACATGACCTAGAATCCACTGGCCATGCTGGCCAAGAGAATTCTGGGAGCTGTACTCTGAAAAGTAACTCTTCCAAGCTCTGCACAGTGGCCTACACATTGTAGGCCAAACATCAGCAAGGGGCCTTTTGCACAGTTATAATCTCAGGGTTTTCTGCTGAAGATATTTGCTTTCCAGCCTCTTCAGCTTCTGGAGGATGGTAGAGTTACTGCTGGAAAAATGGTGAAATGCAAAAAAATAATCTGTTATGCTTTCTTTCTGATATAGAATCTGAGTGTTATGTGCTCTATTTCATTAACAGTCACACAGACCACAGATTTGCTATTTTCCTTTCTATATCTTCCACAATGGAAAAGAGTTGGAAGCTTGTTGGCCTATTTCCCCTCTGTCATTCAAAACATGAGATGAGGAATGTCTGAATATGCAAGGCTTTGTTTTCAGACAGGTCAACAAATCAGGTACTGAAACACAGATCGTTGGGTGTACAGATGAATAAAGCTTATCTGTAAGATACCAGGAGGTATCTGCAGAGCATTAAATAGGTCCTGATAAATTTATTTAAGTCATAGCAGATTCTCACAGTCACTTTTGGGGTTGATTGTGGGTCATAATTTCAGTTGGACTGCATTTGTCATATTCTGCTGTGCAAGTAGATTTCTGCAGACTGTCACTCTAGTTTTGATGGCGCATTGCTCTACAATTTTGAAAGTGCTTGTACAAACTCAAGTAAAGGCCTATTGAGATTTGTAGGGGTGTAGGAAGCAGCTTGTAAAGTTTTACTGAAGGTAATTGTTTAATTTTCTCAACTCAGAAGGAGAGATTATCTGCCAGTAGGTACGCCAGAAACATGATGAATGTGTGCCAGTTTAAATGATTTACTTGAGCTCCAGAGGCTGTGTGTGGCTGTCTGTGCAGAATTTTTTTTCACTCAGAGTTGAGTATATTATGGTTCCATAATGCTATTGCTTCAGTGTCCTGTTTTTGCAAGTTGCATAGAGGGTGTCAATCCAAATTAGCCAGAGCCACCTACTACATTTAACAGCAATCGATTTTCATTTAACGCAAGCATATTTTCTTGTCCAATTTGAGAAAGTGTTGATAACGGCACCTGCAGAGCTTGTAATGACACACTAGCATCTCCTCCCTAATCATTCACCATTAGAGAATAGGTAACTTTTGACAGCTGCTACTGGCTGTAATATTGATTGTGCTGATTAGTGTGAGAGGGGAATTGTGTGTATAATGTAAACTCTTGGTTCAAATTATTATCTTTTTCTTCCAACTCTGGAACTTGACACAGTGTTTGTCTAAGAGTTCTTCCTGATAACAGAAAAGAGCATGATTAATTTTGTACACCCAAGATAGGTTTGAACCTGTGTTTCTCAAACTGCATCATCCATACCACCTGGCAGACTCTTTTTAAAAAGAAGGAAGTTTCAGAAGTAGTCTCTGATAGAACATGGACACCATAGAAGAGGGGAAATAAGAAACTTTATCAGTGATTCAAAGACATTGCATATGCTTTGTATCGTTTGTTTGTTTAGGTTTTTTCTAGTGGTATGCTACTACTCTGGAGGCTTACAAAGGAAAAAAAACACAACTCTCAATTTAAGTTCTCTCATCAAAAGAAAATAACCAAGAAAACTCCCCAGCAGCGAGAGAAATCGAAGCCAATTTTAAAATATACAATGTAATAAGATGTCATGCAGGAAAGGTATCCGGAAAAGGTTCTTTGAATGGCATGTTTTGATGACCTTTTGTATGCTAGGAGAGAAGTTCTAGTTAGATCTTGCTAGTTCTTTGGATCCTGAGCTTTGCCTAATAATTGTATTTTTAGTAGGAAAATAGACCATAGAAAATGGGATTGTTTCATTTGTGACATATCAGGGGTTGGTTGGTTGGTTGGTTGGTTGGTTGGTTGGTTGGTTGGTTGGTTGGTTGGTTGGTTGGTTGGTTGGTTGGTTGGTTGGTTGGTTGGTTGGTTGGTTGGTTGGTTGGTTGGTTGGTTGGTTGGTTGGTTGGTTGGTTGGTTGGGTAGGTAGGTAGGTAGGTAGGTAGGTAGGTAGGTAGGTAGGTAGGTAGGTAGGTAGGTATAATGCCCCATTAGTGCCAGGGCACTATTCTAAGCTAAAATCAAAAACAAATAATGAAATAAAATGAAATGAAATGGATGGATTGGCATCCATCAACTGTTGAAGACCACCACAACCCTCCACAGATGCCATGCCCTGACAATTCCACTCCTGCTACTATTACTGCAGCAATCACTACAGAAGGCACAATTTTGCACCCACTGCAAAGATTATATACAAATCTTTATAAGCAAGAAAGAGAAAACATAATTTTCTCCTTCTCTCCCCAATTGTGAGTTATTTTCCATCAGTCGCAACAAGAATTTCTTCATTTGCTAGAATAATTTTTGAGCAGATTGCATAAATTGTACACTTTGCAGTAGTTCATCTGTGACAACTGCTGTGTTCTCACATGGACTTTTAAAAATCAGATGCATCCAATGGATTATTTGTGTCTTTATGATCAATCACACAGTCTTTCTGAACTTGCTCTTTGGTTTACTGATGGGAAATGTGCTTGTTTTGCTCAGGGACATTTTCCCTTAGAGATAGCAGGGTTAATGTACTCTCTTATCATTGAGAAAGATTTCTTCACATCCTGATTTGTTCACCCTGTTTCCCAGCAGAATCAGAAAGGATTTCGAGAAGGATGAATGCCCTTCTGCGGAAGTGGGCCAGCACATAATTTTATAGGATGCACATGGAATGTTATGCAAGCATTCCCTTCCTCTTGAGAGGAGGAGGTGGAATGGTCAAACCTCCCTAACCTGTGTACTGAAATAGAAAAGTATATATGCAGATGTGTGAGAGTCAGTTTTGTTCAGTAAGGAATTTCGTGCATTTGTCCTGATTGTACAAGAGTAGAGGAACTTGTGTGCATAAATGCAGTCCACAATCCTGTCACCTGTCACCCTGTGGCCCTTGGAACCCAAAGGGCTGTTTACCTCATGATATATAAAGGACATTGTACTTTCTGTCTACTAGTGGGAAGGGATCTTCTGGTGACTTTCTATTGACCTGCAGGAGAGAACCATCCTTAAATGATATTCTTCCCTTGCCCCAACAAAGGAAGATTTGTAAAATCTAATTGATTGCATGGGTTAAACAGAATGGTTATTATTGCCTCAAGATGATTTGTTATTAAGTAATATTAATTACTTTGATCATAATTTTTGTGAGATTTCTCCAGAGATCAAAGCATCAAAGAAGTTGTTGGCTTTCTTTTTTATGCCTTCAGCATGACATCAAACACATGTAGCAATTCTCTTAGGGTTTTTATCTTGTGGTTGGATTAATTTATGAATAAAAGCTGGCACCCAGGGGATGATTAGGGCTGTGTTCTCATATAAGCTAATCTGGGAACAAGCCCTGTTAAACCTAATGGGGTTTTCTTCTGAGCAGGGACACAGGAATTGTCTGAAAATCCTATTTTACAGCATTAATTTGCATACATTCCCTGTCACTTTAATAGTTTCTGAGAAACGAACCTATATGTGTTCCCTTTTCTTGTGCTTAAAGCTTGAAGATGGTCATTGTGTAACATAATGGCTAAAAGGATGAACTAGGAAGGCTCCAGTTCAATACAACCTCTTCCACAAACTCACTAGGAAGTCAAAGGCTTTTTCTTCCCAACCCTCCTTCTCTGTCTGAAATATGGCTGGGAAATAATGCAGACTTCTCTTCCAAAAATAATTAGAGATTATATACAGTTTCTTGTTTACATGAATCTAATAACGCACACATTATCTTGGTGGCTCATCTTGGTGGGGACTGGGAAGTCTGAACTGGGACATAACAGGAACACACATAGATCACTCCAAGCAATAAGCAATAAACCATGTTGCTTTAAAAAGGAAAAATGAAAAGATTACATGTGTGAGAAAATTCACCTAATGCAGAGCCAGTGGCTTGAACAGGATGAGCAGGAATATGCTTGAATCAAGTTCTAACCTGTATTTAAAAGAGCACATCTGAAAACATGTATCATGGATAGAGGGGGTGGAAGTGGGGCACAGTTGTTCAAATGCACAAATGTTCCTGCCATGTGATGTCACGCCCAGCCAATACACACTCATGGTGACAGTATGCACATCCACCCAAATCACAATCTCTTCCCCTCTGTTTATCAATATGCTAGATTAAAACATGGGGGGGGGGACTTCTGATAAGTAACAGTTCTGAAAAGGAAAGCCTCTACCATGTGTGGAAGATTTCCAAGTGAGAGAATCCAAGTTCACTCAACCGAAGGAAGGAAAGAAGGAAGTGGGCCTGGCAGGCCCCTTTCTTATACGTTCATTTCACTGTCTTTTGAACATCTGAATTAGGGCCAGATGTGTGTGTATAAGTGGATGTTTCTAAATCAGTGGCTCACAGCCTTGAGTCCCCAGATGGCCTGGGACTACATCTCCCAGAAATCCTGTCCAGTACTGGGAAGGCTTCTGGGAGTTTTAGTCCAAGAACATCAAGGATTGTCCCATATATTTTAGGGTTGTCAATCCCAACCATCTGCTTTTAGAATGCAATCCTCAGAAGAGTTGTCTCAAGGGAATATGAGCCTTGATGAGAAAAGAAAGATTGTCTCTCCTTTGCAAGAAAATTCTCACATATACTGGGATTTTCAGTTACGTATGACTTTAAACTGTAAAGTTGACTTGTTCTCTCTTCAGTTTCTTCTCTGGGAACAGTGACCCTTCAGCAGTATTAGTTTCTACAGGACATGCAGAATTATGGGCCTGAGCCACACTAAAACAGTGCAAGGAAGAAGTGGCAAAAGCGCA